CCCCCAGAAATATCAGGGTCTACCTTATTTGTCCATCACAAACATGTCAGATACAGCGATCAAGGTCAAGCTCATAAATGGGTGTGGTCCTACCCTTGAGTACTCACCCGTAAATGAGCTAAAACTGGTGTAATCAAATCACTGTTTCCTCCTTAATATCTTGTGTTTTTATAAATGTTGCTTATATGTGGTGAAGTAAAGATAATATTTTTGATATACTGCAGGTCTCAACAGAATCTTTTCCACTATCACTTTTACATATTTACTTCTTTTTTCTTTGTTTTGCCTACATTCATTATGCCCTTATGTTATTATTCTACATGAAGGCGCCAGTCTGCAGTGTTCTCATGTGCAGTTGGATCTCTATCCTCCATCCCATCTCACAGTTTTGTCTCTTTGCAGGTGGAACATCTTGGTGGATTACTGTTACACAGACCCCTCAGGGAATCCTAATGATGAACTCCGCTATGACCTTTTCTTTGGATAAATCCTGCCTTTTTCCCCCCTTCAAGATAATGACTCGATAAACCACAAAAGGGAGTCATTATCTATTCAACTTCTCCACATGGCTTACCCTCATGAATGCTTCTTCTTTCTTCTTCATAAGGCATAAACCCATCAGCTTCTTTGCGACCACCTGCCTAATATTGTTTGGGTCCACCTCGCGCCTCCACAACAGCTGTGATCCATCAGGGTATGGACACAGGACCGTTGAGGGTGTCCTGTGGTCATGGAACTTGGGTCCTCTGGGATACAAGTCTCTATGGATTAGGTCTGGGGAGTTTGAAGACTAGGCTTCTGAGTTCCTGTTTTTACAGTATAGCATCCTGCTAAGGTAGGCTGCTGCTCTGGAGTGGTATCATTGCCATAAGTGAGTGTTTTGGTGGGTAGTACATGGCAAAATAATATTAATGTTTCAGAGCATAGTGTTGTAATGAAAGGATCATTTGTGTGTTGTAGTAGTAGTAATCATCACAAGTGCTTGTCCAATAGAAAAAAAAAGCTACAGTCAGTAGCCATTTAACTGAACCTACAGACTGTGCTTTCGTTCAGCTGTTCATCCGCCAGCACTTCCAGTTCTCTGATATATCTAAACTTGTGTAAAAACTAAAACCAGGGGTTGACATATTTTAATTACCTGAAGTACATTTTAAAAACTTAAAAAAAAACATATAATCTAAGTTCTCCAGGCTTCTCGAAGGACATTCTGAGGTCTTCTTTGAACTCACTGTTGATCCTCTCTCCTGAGCTCGTCTGTACATATTGATGATGATTTGAACTAAAATTTTCTAAATTGCACTTATCACTCCATAAGACCTGCTGTCACTGATTTTCAGTCCAGTTCTTCTGTAATTTTCTGTACTTTTCTCCCCTCTTCGCCAGCCACTCTTCCACTGAGACCATTTCTTCAACAAACAGTAGATGGATCAATTTAGAAGCCAGATGCATCTTTCAGGTCCCGTGTCAGGTGTTTGCTGGATTTTTTCCTATTTTTTAAGAACATGACTTTCAGATGTTGCTCATCTGCTGTAGTTAGTTTGTCAGGCCTGCCACTTCTTATTTTGTCCTCTAGTTTTCTCGGTTTTTTAAAGATACACTGCACACCATGCAGAGATGTGCCAACAGGTCTTTGGGAATCAAGTTGTAAGAGCAAAAACACTATTTTATGTCTGTCAAACTGTGTTGTCTTTGGTATTTTTTGGAGCTTCGGATAAAGGAATGGGAACAAATTATGTGTTTTTGTAACCACCTGCTCGTAACAAAGTGCCTAAAGACACAGTTTAAAATTAGTTGTTTACTAAGTTGTCTGTTATGTGTAAACACAACAGGTTCATCCCTTAGTTTGGTGCCTTTTTTATACTTGAATTAATAATAGGTTCATGAGGATATTCCATAATACTGGATGAAGAGAACAACAATTATTAATCAGAAATACTCAAATTCGCTAATCTGGTGATTTTTTATGTTTATTGCTTTATACATAATTAGTTCAATCTACTTCCTGAAAATATTATGTTTTTTAAGTTACATTTAAAACATCCCTGTATCTGTGCAACACTAAAAAGATGTTGCATGTGTGTATGTGGAGTGAAGTAGTGGAACAGAATGAGCACAGAACTGAAGCAATGTCCCAGCATGACTCCGTTTAAAATGCAGTGCAACATTTTTGCAGGAGGAAGCAGGGCTTTCAGTGTATGTGTGTGTATATCTGTAAATATGTGTATCCCTTGATGTGTACTGAGGTTATAAAACCAAATACATGTAACAATTTTTAAGGTATGATTTAATAAAGCATACAGCACAAACAGGAAGAACAGGATTATATATTAATAGTAGGTTTAACCAATCATCCACTTTCTATCCTTTTTGCACAGGTTGTTTATTAAGATTATTATGATAACATTTTTTGTATCCTTTGTTTAATTTGTTTGCCATTTTTTTCTTGTTCTTGTATTATTTTTTAACATGTTTAAAATAATTCCACAGCAATTAATACTCAGTAGGTTAGTTTTAAATGGCTTAACAACCACATGAAAATAATCAGGTACAGGGACTAAATTTAAAATGAGTGAAAAAGAAGCAAAAATCCAGAGAAAAACCTTGAAGAACCTTCAGAAAGCCTGGAAAACTATTGTTCAAGAACACTTTAAAAAACTAGTCTGGCTCCTTCGAACAAAATACTAAGAAATGCGGGACGGCTCAGGATCTTTGCACAGTATACATGGTGCCATGTTCCTATGAAGCTAGCAAAATAAAATAAATCTGTGGGGAATTTAAACAAGCATGTGAAGTTACTGGCAATGTTGCCTCTAATTTTTCATGTGTCTGAGCGAACACACAAACTCCCTGAGCGGTCCCTTGGACCACTGTGAGCGACATCAGACGTGTGCACTGTGGTCACGCCAGCATCGAATCCATCCAAGTTACATGGTTTATTAAGATAATCAAATTACAGCATTTACATTTATGTTAGACTACTTTTAATTAACTGCTTTATCCCACTTATAATGAAAATTTAAAAAAATCTTGTTCATGACCTGTGTAGTATGTTAACACTGGAAGTAAAAATAACTTGAACTCCAATTTTGAAAACAAAGCTTTCTTTTTCTTTTCCTTTCCTTTTTTTTTTATAAAGCTCTGACTTGTATTATGAGTCTGTGGTCTGGGAGATAGTCCTGTAACTCTCTGTCTGCAAAATACAGCATATAATGACCAATGTTGGGCAATTAATTATATAGTTAGTTCTTCAAAAAAGTAAGAGTTTTGCAAACAAGTTTCTTGCAGCTGTTGACCTAAAAATGCAGCCAAGGTTTTTTTTTATTTTTTTTAAATAAACATTTCAAACTATTTACAGAACAATGAGCTGTTCTGCATCAAATTTGATGCCACACAAATCATTTCTGCCACTCCAAAAAATAATGTCTGTCCACTATGAGATAAAGGAGAACAACAGCCTGATACCTGCAGGCCTGACAACAGGAGATGTATCACTGCTGTAACACCTGTAACATTCATTTTTGGTGTTGTTTTTGCTCACAGGCAGAAAGTGCTTTTGAGCGTTTTCCTCATAAAACACAGTTTTTACCCCTTTTCTTCCCACAGTAAATATAAACAATGATAGTATTCAGGAAGAAAACCAAACATTGCATATAATTTTATCATAACTCTGGTTTTACGTGGCCTATCAACACAATTTAAAAACTGGTATAAAGTCCACACTTTTTCCAGCAGTTGTTCCATCTGTCCTACCCTTCACGACTTCATGACTAAAAACAGGAATGTTCTTATTGTCTTCTTCGCTATTAGCATCTATCTGGGAATTTTCCTCATGTTGTGACCTTGCAGGTTTCCAGTCTCATGGAAATGAGCAAAATACAAGGTACTGCCAGGGCTCATTTGACGACCGCCAGAATTAATCTCTCAGATTTTTTGCAGTATTGATTTTCCTTTTCGGTGACCTACGTGAATGTCTGCTGGCAGCAGCGGAATCTCACGTGTCGCGCTCTGAGGCTGTGTTTGTGATCTGCACGGCTCAGCTGCATTCACCGCTCTTTATCACCCTAATCCCTCATTTCAACAGCCATTTTGTGATGTATTCAGCAACTACAATGTCTGCAGATAACTGTATGAGATGAGTAAATGCTATCATCCCCCCTCTCAGTTTACCATCAGTGATAATTGATTAAGCCCACCTCCTAAAATGGAAATGACGATGAGATACGGCTTTGAATTTTGAAGCCAAGTTCAGGTGAGTCATGAGCGAATAAAATGTATTTAGAAAAGATCTGGGGAATATAAATAAGGGAGTGCACTGGCGAGAGGACGTCGAAGAAAGCAAAGAAAGACTCTTTTTGCATGTTTAAGCACACGTCCTGACAATAATATGTCCTTCCTGTCTGTGCGACGTGGTTTCCACACTAAATATACAGCATTGAACCAGAGACTGACAAAAGACACCCATCAATCATCTCGACTATGATCACAGCGTTCTCTTCCCAGATGGCTCGCCTTACAAGATCTGATTTCTAAATGTCCTTTATTTATTTATTATTTCTTTTTTCAATTTAAGTTTTAAAGATGATTTTAAAGATGAAACATCCACAAAGCTGATAAAAGTCTCTTACTTCTGTCTTATGACTGTCAACCTAACTGATGTGGGCGCTAATAATGACAACTCACTAATTCATGAGAATTTAAAGCGTCTACAAAAGATCTTCTGTGACATTCTCCTCTAATTAAAGCTAATTCAGATAACACAGATACAGGTTCTCTTTTTTCCATTGTGTTTGAGATCCCAGCCGATCAGAAACCAAACATCTTTATTTTAGTTCCATACGAGGGAGCACAGGGCCTGTGCAAAGGAATACAGCCTTATGGACATTATTTAAACATGTAACTTTAAAGGCCAGTGCGCTGGGTTTCATCATTAGCCTTTAGGAAACGACCACAGAACCTCAGCTGGAGAAAGTGAACTGTTTGCACAAACTAATGCAATCCCTGGCTTTGACCTCGTTTTTGTTGAATCCCGAAGTAGTGTTGAGACCACAAAACAGTCAGCTACCAGATATACACACCTTTATACATTGTTATCATAAATAAGCAAGGAGATAGCAGGTGTAAGATCCAGGCAACAATGTCTATTTGATTGACAGCTGTGGATTAAGCATCTATTTTTAAGTGTGAATCACCTTTGTGCACTTACAGAGGTTTTCCAGATTGCGCTGGATATTCAGTGCATGAATTTGCTCTTTTCATATCGTCTCTGTTTGCTGAAGCTTTTTCACAAAACTTCATAGAAGGCAGAGTGGTGAGATGGCTTATTAATCCCCCTCGTCCCGATATCCCTGTGCACTTGTGGCAAAGATGGCCTTAGCCAATCTGCAAGTAGATAAAATATAGTAGTAGATAAATAGTAGATAAAATATACATAAAATAT